CCGGGAGTTGCCAGTTTCGGGTTTTACCTCTTCACCAGTAATATACCCCAATTTTCCACGAGCCCCAATGGCCATCTTTGCAGATTGGGACCATTACAAGTAATTTGAACCATCCAACCTAACTGTAGTAATGGTTCCGGCTCCAAAGGGGTCTCCAACACCTCCTCCCACTGGTCCCATTTCATTCCTGGGCTTATATTCAACTGTGTCCCTTCATGTGTCTCAAAGAGGTACAGAAAACAACTAAAAAATGCAGCAAGAACAAACAAAATACCTTCTGGAACCAACGACACTCCTTTGGTGTCCTGGACTTTCTTCCCAGGAAAGATTCCTTTTCGGTGGGATGGGGAGAAGAGAGAGAAGAAGCAACCACCCTCCTTAGAGGCCTCCAAACCACATGGAACTTGAATCGCCCCTTACAAAAAACCCAGAGGAACCCTAAAAATTTGGGCGCCACTACCTATGTCAAAATTGAAGAGTCCAACAAAATCAGGACTCTTCCCCTTTCTCCAGTTTTTCCTGATTCTGATGAGAAACCCTAGACCAGCTATAGGGCATACTGATCCATCAAGAAAATCCAAAAACTGGGCTTACCTGAAAGCTTCGATCAGCCTCTTAAATCTCCATGCAGTCGGCCGATCTAGGGCTGCAGGAATGAATCTCTTCAAGAACCTTCAACCTGCTCTGATACCAAGTAGAAAGCCTTATGTGCTGATTTCGGCCAAGCTTCTTGTGAAAGGAAGAGGAGAAAGTTGGGGATTTCAGCAATAGACAGAGGAAAGGGAAGAAAAGAGAAGACGGTCGACTAGGATAGTGATCATTAACCCTAGCCACCAGCCCCTCATTCTATTTATAATTAACTTAAATATGGGATATTACAAAGATGCCCCTAGTAGGGCGGCAACTCAACTAAGTACTTACAATTCCTTTAAAAATAAAAGACTAAGGAACAACTTCTTAAAATAAAAAGAAAACAAACTAAACATAAATCGGCCCTACATAAATCAGCCCACTCAACAATAATCAAGTTTAACTTGAAAGTCAACTAATCCACACAGTGGTGGTTACCCATACAGGGTGGAAAATAAACTCAATAAGGTTTCCAAATGGGTCTTAAATAACCTAGAGAAACCATTTTCTAGTAAGGATTTTAAAACAAAAGCCTGTTGAAAGGAAAAAATAAAATAAAATGAAGGAATGACAAAGTAAAGAACCAAGTCTCAGTTGAATTGATTTGAATCACATGAATCTTATAAGTCGTAAGGTTCACAAATCAAATTGTAGGATTCAAACGGTAATCATGTGATTTTTGCAGAAAAGGATCCAAGTATACAATTTAAATTGAAACCCTTGGGATTCACAATTTGAATTGTGAAGTGCATCGTAAACTGTAAAGTTTTGACTATTTTCTGGATGATTGATTTTTTTTTTTTGATAGAGGAATTCTTCCTCTTCCTTTTCTTTTTATGTGAGCAGTATTTTTTACATGTGATATAAAGAAGTTATGTATTAGATTTGATTATCAAAAATAAGTTATGTTTTAGAGTTAATTGGACCTTTTACAAAGGTGATATACCTGCTGGAGAAGGATATAGATATCTTCTTTGCGGCAGCAGTTACCCCTGTTTTATAAGTTCCAGCTGTAATAACTTTGCATCATGTGGTTAAGAAGTACCTGTTGGGTATTGCTGGATGATAAGGATGTGGGTGGGGTGCAATACTGGACGAGCAGTCATTGCCAAGTTGTCATTTCTGATGGTATCTGGTGCAAATTTCAAAATTTGCCGAAATCATCTTCTACCTGCTTGTAAGAAAACATTTTGCTTTCCCTGACGAAAACTTATTTTTTAGTGGTGCAATAAAAAAAGGTGAGATGATTGGGACTTCAGATCTATATCAAGCTTAGTATTGTTGTGTATTTGTTTTAATGCATGTTCTTGCTTATAAGTACATGATGCATCTTGAAATGTCTTTATCTTATATAAACATATAATTCTAATGAACTTGTTATCATATGAACATACTCAAACATATATTTCTTAGGCCATCTGGGTCTTAAGATTTGTTATATATAATTCTAATGGTTTTACATGTACCTTTGCAGTCAAATCCAGCTTTATATGTTCTGAGGGAGAGAATAAGGAAAGGTTTGCAGTTGTATTCATCTGAGCCTACGGAACCATATCTGTCATCTCAAAACTATGGGGAGATATTCAGCAATCAAATTATATGGTTTGTTGATGATACAAATGTGTACCGTGTTACAATTCACAAGACATTTGAAGGGAATCTGACAACAAAGCCTATCAATGGTGCCATCTTTATTTTCAATCCAAGAACAGGGCAGCTGTTTCTTAAGGTGCCCCCATTCCTTCTACCGTTCTTATGTACAAATTATATTCATTGCTCAGATATTCCAACAATGGGTGAGGCAGATATGTGAATGTTTTTAGATGATGAGTAGGAAAACTAGAAACATAGATTTAAAAAAAAAAACTAGAAACAGACTAAGATGGTTTGGGCATGTTCAGAGGTTAGAATAGCTAGGGGCAGGCCAAAAAGGACATTGGGTTGTAGTGAGAAGCGATTTAAGGGTCCATAATTTAACAGTAGTTGTTACACTGAATAGAACGGAATGGTGGAGCAGGATTCATGTAACCAAAACCATATAGTTGGGACATGGTGTAGATGATGATGATGGTGATGTATATATATATATATAGCTGAAACTCTCTGGTTTAAGTTACTGGTGCTAATTTAAATTAAAGTAGGGATGCTGTACACACTTTGTACTTCAATCCTTAATTAATAATGTATCTTATTAGCAACATGTTCGGTTGGTAGTAATATGGATTAAAGGACATGATGAATTGGTGCAGGTCATCCACACAAGTGTATGGGCTGGACAAAAGCGTCTTGGTCAGTTGGCAAAGTGGAAAACAGCAGAAGAAGTTGCTGCTCTGGTTAGATCTTTGCCTGTTGAAGAGCAGCCAAAGCAAATCATTGTGACTCGTAAAGGAATGCTGGATCCTTTAGAGGTCCACTTGCTAGATTTCCCAAATATAGTTATCAAAGGGAGTGAACTGCAGCTGCCATTCCAAGCATGTCTGAAGATTGAGAAATTTGGTGATTTGATTCTGAAGGCCACAGAACCACAAATGGTTTTGTTTAACATTTATGATGATTGGCTGAAAAGTATCTCATCATATACTGCATTCTCTCGTCTCATCCTAATTTTGCGGGCATTGCATGTAAACAATGAGAAGGCAAAAATGTTGCTAAAGCCTGACAAGACTATCGTCACTGAACCACACCACATCTGGCCTTCTCTGACAGATGATCAATGGATGAAGGTAACTTCCAAACCTGACAGACCTATTTAAGTTTGGGCTTCTACATGTTTGTGTCTATGTGCATGTTTATTTGTCCCTTTGTGTTCCTTATATCTTTCTTCATGCAGGTGGAGGTTGCATTGAGAGATCTTATACTCTCTGACTATGCAAAAAAGAATAATGTGAACACTTCAGCTCTTACTCAATCTGAGATTCGTGATATAATACTGGGAGCTGAGATTACTCCACCTTCACAACAGAGGCAACAGATAGCAGAGATTGAGAAACAGGTAATATTTTATTTCGTTTGCTTGATTTGAATTGTTTATGGAATTTTGCTTATTTTTATTTTGCTAATTGGTTGCTACTGGAATCTCATGAACAGGCAAAAGAAGCAAGCCAGCTCACAGCTGTAACAACAAGGACAACAAATGTGCACGGTGATGAACTCATTGTCACCACCACAAGTCCATATGAGCAATCTGCTTTTGCATCCAAAACTGATTGGCGTGTGAGAGCAATTTCAGCCACAAACCTTTATCTCCGAGTTAATCACATTTATGTGAATTCTGAGGACATCAAGGTACCAACTGGTCTTATTTTTTTTCTTGCTATTACGGACTACCCCATGGAATACTTATGATGAGCACAACTTATGATAACAGGAGACGGGTTACACATACATCATGCCCAAAAATATCTTAAAGAAGTTTATCTGCATAGCAGATCTGCGGACTCAAATTTCAGGATACATATATGGTATAAGCCCACCAGACAACCCTCAGGTTAAAGAAATCCGCTGCATTGTAATGCCACCACAATGGGGGACTCATCAGCAAGTCCACCTCCCATCTGCTCTTCCTGAACATGATTTCTTAAATGATCTGGAGCCATTGGGATGGATGCACACACAACCAAATGAGCTTCCACAACTGTCACCACAGGTATTGTTTTCAACATAGCATGCTTAATTGCTACCAATCAAAGACTATAACATTCTCTATTGCTTACCGTAGTGGCTATTACTTGGAATGTGGATATGGGATGTTTTCTTAGTCATGCTGCTCTAATTCCGTATTTACAAACTAAGGTCCTAATTGATCTGTCACCCTGGTGATTATTTTTATAGGATCTCACAACTCATGCCCGGGTTCTGGAGAACAATAAGCAGTGGGATGGGGAGAAGTGCATAATCCTCACTTGCAGTTTCACTCCGGGTTCTTGCTCATTAACTGCATACAAGCTAACCCCAACGGGATATGAATGGGGACGAGTCAACAAGGACACTGGAAGCAATCCCCATGGTTATTTACCAACTCACTATGAGAAGGTCCAGATGCTTCTTAGTGATCGTTTCTTTGGATTCTACATGGTAAGTCTTGTCAATTTCTAGCTGTTAAAATCCTGTTGTATCATATTATAATTTCTGTATCCTTTGGGATCATTTTCATATTTGCATTTGCCCGTTTTAATTTTAAAGAGCAACTTATCTAACTCAGATAGTATCATGGGTGTTCCTCAGATTCCGGATAATGGCCCGTGGAATTACAACTTCATGGGAGTGAAACATACATCCAGCATGAAGTATAGTATTAAGCTTGGAACTCCTAGAGAATATTATCATGAAGATCACAGGCCTACTCATTTTCTTGAGTTCAGCAATTTGGAAGAGGGTGAGACTGCCGAGGGTGACAGGGAGGATACATTTAATTAGACCAGAGGTGTAGTCATGTAAATAACTTGTCCCAACACCGACATTGAACCCTTGGGAAGGAAAGTTAGGTTGCTCCATCTCTTTTTTGTTGTAATAATAGATATTTTATATTTTGTGTCCCATGTTTGCTTGGCCCAAGCCCAAAGGCAGACATAGGCGAGTATACTCTCCCGACTTGTATATATATGTTCGGACAGGTTGCAGAAGTTACTTTATGATACAGAGCAGGTTCCGTGATCTCGTATGTGTCTTATCTTTTCTAGTTCTTGGGTCATAATCCGCTTTTAAATGCGTCATATGATATGATGGGTTTCTGTTTCAGTTACTAATTAGAGCAAATGAATTAGTGATAACTAAATGGACTCCACATCAGTTTGTGTAGTACGTAACAGCATCTAACGAAGGTCTCTTTCACAAAGAACTAGCGACTGGATCACATTCGCACAAGACTGCAATACGATTCGACTCTGGTGCAGTATTGACATGCATGATATGCAAAAATCGTGTATTGTGCGATTCACAGGGGGCAACACTCATGGTTAGAATTATTTTCAAGTTCAAGAGTTAAATCAGAGATGGCCTAAGAAGGCTATTGACAATTGAAAATGACCTTTCCTTCTAAATCTTAATACTTTGTCATTTCTGTGGATTTGAAATTTGATACATGGCGTACGATACATTGTGATATTTTAAACGGATTACACTGCACTTCACCTCAGAATTTTGAATTTTACTGCAGACCTACAATAATTTAAAATGCCAAACATCTCATCCTAAACATCAATACCAGAGTTTGGCTTCAGTTAGAGTAAAGCCCATTTGAGCAATCTTTACAGATTTGCATGGAGATATGCATTGAAAATATCTCCATAACTGTATACTTTATTTCCAATGCAAAGTTGGGAATGACTGTTAGAACTTAGAACTGTATGGACACATGTTTGCCCCAATAGAAACTGATCTCCAATATCTGCCTGTGTATTGACATTAATTCCGAGCTGGCACTTACCCCAACTGTATGTTGAAGTTAAGAATTCTGGGGGTGAACTGAACAGTCGTTCTCCCTTTAAAGTTTAAACTATTTTAATCCTTGCCCTCGTAGATGCGGTGAGCTTTGTTAAATTCCATACCTTGCGGATATCTTGGATGGTACTTCTATGCACTGTAAACCAATGGGTGGTCAGCATAATTTGCTTAGTTGATAACTTGATATTATATGACCACATATCCAGAAAATGGGCATGCAATCTACACAATGGAATCTCGTCGACATCATGGAAAGTTGGTTGGTATCACATTACGATGCTGTTATCGTTTAGTATGCCGCTGCATGGATATCAAAACTTAATAAATGATGCGTTGATCAAATACAGAATATGTATATTAACATCAACGCTTACAGTCAATGATCTGTTTAGTCTTACTAAAATTCAGAAAAATACCAATTTTAATCCTGTTTCCAGTTAACGAAGCTTAAAAAATGATTACAAATATAGACACTGACGGTATGACCACCTCAGATAATTGGTGGCCTGAGCAACCTTCACTGCTCAAGAAAATATCAAAACCACCTAACAAAACGAATATAACAGTTTACTATCTTAACATATTAGCGAAAACAAGGTAAAAAAATGAAAAGAATTACAACACAAACCGGCACACTTTCAAATTAATCCCCACACCATGCTTCCAAGTTTCAAATGGTTAAGCAGCACTCTAATCCTCGCTGTGCTTCCAAAATGCTGCCAATGCCATCATTCCCTAGTAAACAGATGTCAATATATATGATGTCATATTATAACTTCATCAATCTCTTTTTCTTTTTCTTCTGATTATCTATATTACTGGAAGTCCGAGTATAAGACCTTCAGCTGCTATGCGCATGGTCAGCCTTCTCTTCTTTCAGTTCCTCTTCATCTTTCTCCTCTGAGATAAAATCTGTGCTATCCTCTGCACTTGATGACCCCTCCTGATGGCTCCCAGATTTTGTTGGATTAAACAACTCATTGTTCTCTAAATTGGCTAGCTTTTCTTTCGAGTCTCCCTTCAGCAGTTCCACTACCTCAAGCATGGTGGGTCTTTTCTCAGGTTGATTTTGAGCACATATGAGTGCAACAAGAAGCACCCTTTTTAGCTCTTCTTCCACGTATTTCCCATTTAGCTTTGGGTCTGCCACTTCACTAAACTTATTCTGGCATACCAATGGCAGGGCCCAACCGGTGAGGGTGCGCTTCATTGTTGGACTGAGTTTCTCTATGGGTTTCTTTCCACTAGCAAGCTCTAGTAGAAGTATACCAAAACTATAGACATCACAGCTCTCTGATGCTTTTCCAAGCATGGCATATTCGGGGGCAAGATAGCCAAGGGTGCCCTTTACCCTTGTGGTAACATGAGTCGCCCCATCTGGTATAAGCTTTGCAAATCCAAAATCAGAAACTTGGGCCTCGAAATCTGAATCTAGCAACACATTGCTAGCTTTGATGTCTCTGTGGATTATATGTGGTGTGGCATGGTGGTGAAGATAGCTAGATCCAGTAAAAATGAAGGTTAAATAAATCCAAAAACTGTTTAAAGGGAAGGAAGAAATGCTAAAAAATAAGGAAAATTTGTAGGGGGGTTTTCAGGACTTACGTAATTCCCTCTGCAGATCCTATTGCGATTTTCATCCGCCGGTCCCAACCAAGAAGTTCTGCTGAGTGATGCCCATGAAGGTGAGAAAGTAAGCTCAAGTTAGGCATGTAATCATATACTATTAGACGCTCTTGCCCTTCAGCACAATAGCCACGCAAGCTCAATAAATTTTTGTGCCTGACTCTACCCAGAATCTCCACCTCAACAGCAAATTCCATATCAGCTTTGTCGCTCCATACCTTCAGCCTTTTAACAGCAATCTGCAACAAATTCTCCTTTAGCAAATAGTAATTGGATTCCAACCACCTAGCAAAGGGCCATATTTGAGAAAATACAATAATTGTTAAGCTAAATCTATTAAATTAATTTCTTAATCTATACATCTGGGTATCACAACAAAAAAGTCATGCCTCCTTTTTGGAGGTTATGTTTTGGGCTAGGTGGGACATTTTCCAACCCCAATTTTTAAGTAACTAAAATTTTAAATGGTTCCATCAACAGATAAATTTACCATTCAGCTCATGGTGGAATTCAAATTTATCCTAAAAATCCATGAAAACTACTTTTTTTTTCTTTTTTCTAATTCAACCATTGGAAGAGCTTTCTGAAGATCCAAAAATACCAGAGCCACAGTGAGAAACAATCCCTTAATTTTTCAAACAATCTGAGTAATTTGAAATTCTATATAATGTTTGGTATGAGTAGCAAGAGATTTCATGGAAGAGCAGAACTGGAAGAAGCAACCCAAGAGAAAAACATGGGAATCAACCTTAGGTGGTCCTCTCACTTCATTTTAACATCTTTTGTTCTTTAGCTGGGATTTCTAGATAGGGTTATTTGGGGCTTTATATTCTAATAAACAAGTTACATGTTACTTATCCAGCCATCTTTTTTCTTTTCTTATATTTAATCATCTATATTACAATATATGAAGGCTGCAAATCTGATCACTTTATCTTTAATGCCATATAATAAGCTTTAGCCTCTTAAACATTTAGTATCAACATTAATTAAAAAAATAAAGAGGATATTTGCTGCTTCAAGAACATGAATGTGTTTGCCTATTTAGAGGGTAGTTTTCTGGGTAGGTAGGGGTGATCATTTTCAGCCCGGCCTAGAACCAAACCTACAAATTTCTGGGCGATGTGCCGATGCCTGGTCTGCTGCATTCGTGCGCGCACAGACACACATGCTATATTTTATATTCTGTGGAAGGAGTGGAATGGGAGGATCTTTGAAGGAAAATACAGTGCAGCAGATAATGTGGTGCTTTGGGCTGTGGAAGTTTGGAAAGAAAGAAATAAGAGAATCAAAGGCTCGATCAAGGGATCATATCACTCTACTCTGCGGTAAAAGGATAAAGGACTGGGTTCTCATTTTCCCAGAGTTTGAAAGGGCCACAAAAGAAGATCTTGGTGCTGGATTTTGGAACAATCTCGAGCTGGCTTAAAAGATTTTGTATTCTGTCTTTCTCTTTTGAGTCTCGTCACCATCAGATGTACTCTCCTTTTCTATCAATAAATTTTCTTTTTTATTTATTACAAAAAAAAATTCTTTGTTCTTGGTTGTCAATCAAGGACCTGTTTAACAACATCCTACACCAGTTTTTTTATCATAGTATCCTTTTCAATTAGTTACACACCTTGGTAATTTTGCTGTATTTAGTTGGAGAGCCAAGTTTTTTTGGCTTGTCTGTATGGTTGCTGGCTGTACATGAGGTATATATGAGTTATACTTGCAATTTTGATCTTCTATAGCAAATACAATACTTTACCTCTTTCTCAAAAAATAATATAAAATATTATATATATTTCATATTTTATAAATAAAAGTAATATGCCTGGAACCTGGGCTGGACCTAGGATATAGCCCTTGTCATAGGTGCTAAGCACAGCCTGGGCCCAGTCCTTGGTCACCTTTATGGGTGGGGTTGGCTGATATCTTAGTTACATGTTATGTACCATGTTTTTCTTCACAAATATTCAGTTTCCCCCCTCTCCATTAATTTAAACATAATCTAGGGTTTTTGCCCTAGAACCCTGATGGGGATCGGTCCAGGCATTATAAGACTTATTATCGCAAGAAGAAGGCCAACAAACAGGTTCTGATTTGGCATGGGGAAGACTCTTGGAACTTGGACTGAGCTGATCAGGGGTACTTTCGTCATTTTAACTAGTCCTGTGTGGGTCTGGGCTATAACATCTTGTTCCTCTAGTTTAGTAGGGTTGTCTTTCAATTTTCAGTTTATTTGCATTGGTAGAAAAAAAGCTATAGTGTTTCTTGATGCACAAGACAAGGAGTTGCATTTTTGTAATTATAGTGAACAGTATTCCGGGTCACACAAGTCACTCTATAAATAGATGCATTCTCTCCTTTTGAAGCTAATGAATGAATGAAGATTTCTTTAGAGCTCTCTTGCTGTATGGAGTGATTCTAGGACCCCCTACTGCATCAAACCCAGACTAGTTTATTTCTTATCAATCGAACCCAGACTATGTCAGGTTATAGTTATACAAATTAAAGTTTGTGTGAAGGTTGATGGAAGTAGTGATGCAACAAACGTAGACAAATTAAAATGTGCACCAGTGGAAGCAATAGTATGGTAATATAAACAAGTTAAAATGTCCACAGTCCTGCCATTGGGTTTCCATGACATATTTCTGTAGTTAAATACCTGATTAAGGTGCATTCCTACCGTGTTCTAGTGGGGTTATCATCAATCTAATCCTCCTACAGCCCTAAGAGCTTAAACCAAGGCTGAGGCTCAAGCTTGTTTCTAGTGGGGTTCCCATGACATATTTTCCAATGATCTGTAGGTAAAACTGAAAACCCACTGATGAAGGGGGTGTTCACCAATATGTATGATTTTATTTTTTCAAAACAAAAACCACTGCCACATCAGCAAAAAGTGATGAAATTCAGCAGGAATCATGGAGAGAAAAAATTGGGATTTTAGGACACTGGAAAGTAAAACCATCCACATTATCAGTGAGAAAAAGTGATCTGTTGCAAGTTGAAGGATCTTGTAGAGATAGTGGCAGACCAAAAAGGATATGGGTTGAAATAGTGAGAAATGATTGAGGGCTGCTCATATGGACATAGAAGTGAATAGAGCAGAATGGCTAACAAGATTCATTTAGCTGACCCCATATAGTTGGGGACGAGGCTTAGTTGAGTTGAGGAGAAAACTAGAAGGTAAGGGTCCATCACATAGCCATTAATGGAGAAAGATGTCCAGCCACACCCTATAAAGAAGCCCAATAGGCCATGTGGCTAAGGTTGTCACCCTGGACAATGTTTGATTTGAAGATGTTTAAAATCTACACAAGTATATCTAACCAGGGAAGCTTAATCTCCTTAGAAGTGGCAACAACTCTGTAAGTCAACACTTCCCTCTTCTGCTACCCCTTCTCAGGTTTGAACCTTCCAACTCCATTTTCTACAGTCAGCCACTTGATCCCATCAGTAAATCATTTTTCACTTAATAAAACATTTAGTCTCCCATTAAATCATAACTTGAGAAATCCTGGCTTTGCAACTCAACTTTCTATTATGGTCTCAACAGCTTTAGAGAGCAAAACCTAGAGAGAGGTGGTTATGCAACACACTCTTGCTCCCACAACTAGGCTGTAATCGAGTTGATTCAATCCGAGTATTAGGCTGCTTGAAATCAAGCTTAACTCAAAAACATAGAGCTTGAAATTCGATTTGAGCTTGATCGAGTTTCAAGTTTCTGGCTCGAAGCCTCGAACTCGACTCGAGTCGAGACTTGCGCATTACTTGAGCTTGGATAGACTTGAGCCAATTATAAATAAATTAGTATTAAAAATTATATATAAACTAATATTAGCATATTAAAGATAAAAATATATTAAAAAATTATAGATAAATTAATATTATAAATACTATAAATAAAAATATATTATGAAATCAATTATAAATTTATTTATTCATGTATATTAGAAATAAGTTAATTCAGAATATTAATGTTTATTTATATTATAAATACAAATATATTAAAAATAATATTTTATTATGAGCTTGATTAGGCTCGCGAGACACTTGATCCGAGAATTGTGAAGCTCAAATTCTGCTCGATCTACTCAACTCGGGTCGAGCTCGACTCGAACTCGATTGCTTCGAGCCAAGTTCGAGTATACAGCGAGCTGATCCCGAGTAGCTTGCGAGTAGGCTCAGCTCGCTTACACCCCTACCCACAACTGAGTGCACTCAAAAGTTCGAGGTGACGTCTAATGCCTTGATGGAAGTTGTTAACGCAGTAGGTGGAAGAAGTAATGGCAAGTGAGGACACTTACGATAGACCACAAATACTACCACTTGAGAATGACTAGTCTGTTTAGTCAGTACTAATGCTCTGACAAGGGTGCTTTCGGCAGGATGATCACTTTATCAGAACATTGAAATGATCTTAATTAAGCTAGTCATCATTTAAGAGTATGACATCCAATATCAAAATAAGTTCTCCTGACCTCAATCAGAATGTTTGCTGTGGGACATTATGGAGGTGTTCATCAATGTGAATGGTTTTGTTTTCTGAAATAAAAACAACTGCCATGTCAGCAAAAACAATACACTTTTTCTGAAGTGGCAGCCATTTTTTGTTTTTAAAAAACAAAACCATATATATTGGCAAACACCCTCTATGATCCTCACTTTTCTCCCAATCCTAGTTAGAACATGAATCCTTGAATTCGAAGTCTCGAGTCACATAAATTAAGAGTTTTCTAGTTACTTTTGACTTGATATCATAAAATGCTAAATAATCATATGGTTGATTACAAACATTAAGCTGAAAGCTCAATGAATTGGAGCACCTAGGAAAAAGAAATATTCATACTTTAGCTTCTCCTTCCATCTTGACATGCCACATACATAATTTATCATTTCTGTCTCAAACCATTTTTTGATCATATGGAATTCCAATTGTACCATGATTTTCTTTCCTATGCATGCACAACTGTGGTGCACAAAGTTGGTATACAGCAATCATTTGCTATTTTTCTTTATATGTAATATGCATATGGCCCAAAATGAAGCCAAAGATAATGATTATGTGAGGAAGCTGAATTGTGACAATTCAGTGTGAGCCATGGACCAGAGAATGAGAGAAACCCAATAATCAACATCATTACTGCAATAGTTAGCTCAGCTAAAAGCATCTATGCCCAAGAGTGATATTTTATTTGCACCAAAACTTGTCACATCATTCTTCTTTCCCAGTTCTGCTTTGGACCGGGAAATTTTCATTTGTGTATCTTGAATCTTATCCATTGTGGAACATGCTGGGTATCTAATAGATCACACTGTCTTCCAAATCATATAAGAATTCTGAAGTCCAGCATTACTTTTTTGTTATTCATCCCTAATGCATGGGTTACTCACACATTTGTTTCTATGTCTGGGACTCTGGTTTTAATTAATCCATATCTCTAAGCATGGAAATGGAGTCCAAGGGTAATGTTATCAATATCATTGTCTCCAGGTAAAGGGGAAAGCTTGTGATAACAGCAGTTATTGTATCTTCCCAGGCACTAGGCTCTATTATTTCTTGCTCTTAAGTCTTCTCATTTTTCCAATGTTGTCAGATTTGGACCAGACATAAAAACCAGAAAGCACACTGAATCATGGTTTTACCAGTTAACCAGCAGGTTAGATAATTCAGCCCATGAGAATTGCCAAATAACTGGGACCTGGAAAGCCCATCAGACCACTTGTTCAATCATCTGGTCCAATCTGAGCCTGACCTTCTATTTATTTGTTATTTACCTTGATTTACATATTCATTTAATTTTTGGAAAGAACCTCTTAACTTTTGTCCGAATGATGAGTTCGTTCCATATCCATCTTTATCTTTTTCTTTCCTGCAGGACATTATTGTCTTCCCTCTCTAATACAGCCTATAAATAAAAGAGCAATAAAGGCATCTCTTGATCATCTTTGATCTAAAGCTTTATCCCATCAACAATATCCATGCTAAGTCTCCATAACTTCTATACATTTCTTGCAGCTATGCTCTTTGATGATCTATCTTGAACAGATATTTATAATCTTATTATGTCCATTTCATACTTGGACCTTCAAATCAAAGCAAAACACTGGCTAGAGGCAGAATGAGGAGGAAAAAGTTGAACCTGGGACCCTCTCTTCCAGTATGACTTTTATGTGACTGTTCTCTTATAACCTTATCAATAACTGATCCAAAAACAAGATGATCAGGATCAACAGAACAATTTAAAGCCATTGGGAAGGTCAATTTTAGCTAATATCTTATTCAACCAATTTAGAAGGAGCTTTCCTATAAATTGTTGGAGCTACATATTAATCATTTATTATAAATCAGAAGCATAATATTAGACACATAACAATACACTTTTTTTTTATGGAAACACATAACAATATACTTTAGTTCATAAGTTGAGTGCTGAAGTAATAAAATCTCGGACTTTCAATGTAACAGCTAATTTTGCTTGACCAATAAATTAGTGCTGAATAAAAAGTAAAAAAAAAAAAAGCAAAAGCCAAAGCATTAACAAATTAAAAAAAAAAAAAAGAAAACTTACTTGAGAACCATCCCATAGCTGTCCCCAATAAACGCTACCAAATCCCCCTTCTCCAAGCTTGTTGTCGTAGTTAAAATTGTTTGTAGCTGCGTGTAATTCCTTCAGGGAAAAAACCCTCCAGGTTTGCTGCTTCTTCGGTTTCTCTTTCCTGTATAATCATGTCCACCTTACATCAGATAACCATAAAATACACAAAAATAAACAGACACAAACTATAAGTCTAGACGATTATCTCTAATCCATGCACGACGCTTACTCTCCAAACAGAAGCAAATGACCCAAATTAGCATTTCTGTTTCAAAAGTATAATCATTTTTCATCATACGATCTTAACTCAATGAAGCAGACGCGATTAGTCACGAAGAACAAGTCCCTCACTTGTTAATTTATCTATGTTCTTTAGAAGGATAAGACATGGTGGAGGGGGAGGGGGTAAGTGGGTAACAGAATAACAAACTCAAAGAAATCAATCATTCATGCCGAGCAAACAAAAATCACGAAAAGAGAACAACAAAAAACAGATCAAGAGAGAGAGAGAGCAGAAGCTTTGAGTTCTGATGAAGGTACCGATTCGAAGTCTTTCCGCAACAAAATCTGGCGCACAAAGCCATGTCCCTACGAAAACGAAACACCCAGTTGAAGACTTGAAGCTGACTTCTGCTTCACCTCGTCAGTCGTGGAGCTAAGTAGAAGAGGTTTCAGACAAAAATCGAAACGCTCTTTCCCCCACAGACATACATTTCCGTTAACGAATTTCGCGCTTCGGAGCTCGAAGATCGATGAGAAAAACAGCTGCAGAGGCAGCTCGGTACTCAGCGAATGGATTGAAGCGTGAGGAACAAACAAAGTAACAGACTTTCTTCCGTGTAGTGCGGTTGGTCGTCTTCAAAAGGGGGAGGATTTGTTATAGGGAGGTGGAGGTGGGGACCATTTTATGAAAATAAAGGGAAATTGTCAAAAACTCTCTACGAGTTTTCATCATCATTTCTCTTAAATTCATCACAACTTTTCAAAATCTATAAAACCCACCATCTCACGAACTTCATATTAAAGAGACTAACGGCCTTAATATATTATCATTTTAACCTTTATAGAAAAATATAAAATATATACATATATAAAAATTTCACACAAAATAAAAAATTATTTCCAAATAATAAAAACTATAGAAATTGAAAAATAAAATTGTAGAAAAAACACAAAAAATTATAAAAAAAAATACAGAAATTGCAAATAAATAACAAAAAATACAGAAAATTTTATAGATTGTAGAAAATAGAAAAATGTAAAATAACAGAAATTATAAAAAACATTAGAAATTATAACAAAACACTAAAATGTAAAAAATGAAAAAGACCCTTTTCCTCTAACTCGTCATTCAAGGGTGATTTGGTTGACGTGGACACCTCTGTTAAGAAACATTAACGGTGCACTAACGGAATGTGAGTTTTGGAAAATAAAAACTTACTTACATAGTGAGTTTTAGACGTTTTGAAAAGTTTGGTGAGTTTAAGAGAAATGTTGAAAACTCATGATGAGTTTTAGACAATTTTCCAAATAATAATGATTTAATATTATTTATCTACAACATGGACATTTGTAGGGACTTAAAGAGGAATTATATCGCTTTAGGTGGGTGAAAGTAAAATAATTTTATGAAAATAATAAGGGTAAATTTCTTAAACTACCCTTATGGTTTAGCTAATTGACTTAGTGTACCCTTACTGTTGAAATTTGACTAAGACTACCCTTATTGTTTCTGAAAATTACCATTACCGTTAAAATATTGACGGAAGGGCTGAAATGTCCATTTTTCCATTAAATCAAATTCAAAGTTCCTCCATTCTTCTTTTGGGTTTCCGACTTTACCGGAATTCGAAGTTCCTTGACTCTTCTTCTATGGTTTCCTAAGCTTTACTGGAGTTAGTCTTAGCCACTTGTGTCTGAGAAAAGAGAACCACCAACAAAATCGCACCGCCCCTAGAAGTTGTCTGACCCTTCTCACTCCAACCCTAACCAGAGAACTTGTAATTGTCTAGCGTCTTCAACAATGGAAAGGAAGCAGGAGAGAGAGCCTTGTTTGATTGTAGAGAAGACGAATAGAAGATGAAGAAGAGGGAACTTATAATTGCTTTAGGACAGGGATTTAGTAGTCTACCTTGGATAGAAAAGAAGGTTGATCAATCGAGGAAGAAATCACGTTAATGACAGGAGAAGAGGTTATTATATTGGCTAGTAGTCTTTGATGTGTCTGAAGAGATTTATGGAATGACTCTTTATGAAGGCCCATTCAAGTCTTTGTATCGTTGATTTGAGATGAGATCAGATGATCATGGTTACAGGTGAAGAAGCTTCACCATGATTCGATCAGTTTTAGTCTAGGGTTTCTAAGCTTCTCCTCCGTTCTTCTAGGGTTCCGGAGTTAGTCTTAGTCACTTGTGTCCAAGAAAGGAGAACCACCAACAAAACCGCACTGCCCCTAGAAGTTGCTCGACCCCTCTCACTCTGACCCTGACTAGAGAACTTGTAATCGTCTAGTGTCTTCAACAATGGGAAGGAAGCAGGAAAGAGAGCCTTGTCCGGTTTGTTCGATTGTAGAGAAGACGAAGAAGAGGGAATTTGTAATCACTTTAGGACAGGGGACAGGGGTTCGATTTTGTTCAATTATAGAGAAGGCGAAGAAGAGAGAGAAATCCCTCTTCGATTTGTTTTATTGCAGAAAAGGAGAAGAAGAGAGAAATCCTTGTTCGGTTTGTTCGATTGCAAGCTCCCCACCTTGCCTCACCGCTGCATCTCTAGTTTAGTCGGTGATGAGGTACTACAACACATCAATCACTGCCACCAAACCCTCCCTCCCCCACCTCGCCTCGCCTACCTCATCTCGGTTTCAATCGGTGATGAGGTGCTTACAATTTGAACATAGCAATCGGTGATGAGGTTCGAGACAGGGCTTGGTTGGAGAAACCACTACGAAGGGTTTAGGGATTTTTGATCATAAAAGGGTATATTAGGGATTTTTAAAAATATAACCATCATGTGATGTCACATGTGCACAGTTTAGACGGAATGTTATGCTAGAGACAGTAGGAGTAACATTAGTCAATTTTCAAACCATAAGGATAAGTTTATTTAATTAATTAAACCATAAGAGTAATTTAAGAAATCTACCCAAATAATAATGATTTAATATTATTTGTCAGCAATATGGACATTTGTAGGGACGTAAGAGAAATTAATGTCGTTTTAGGTGGGTGAAAAGTAAAATCCTTTACCTGCTTGCGTCGTCTGTCTGGCTGAAATCTGAACTGCTGAAAAGCAATACAAGATTTTGCGGAGGGTCTTGGTGGGGTGTAATTGTCATTTTCATTAATTGCGTGTTAAACGTTGTGGTTTAGAATTCGATAAATGCAAGGTAGAGGCAATTTGACCCGTCGGATTCGGGGCGAGTTTTGACTTTTGGCCGATCAAAATCCACGAATTTTGATAAATACCAATGGTTAATATATTTAAAAGACTTTGATTTTTCGTACACCATGTAAGGGTGTAAGATCCTGGATTCGGTCCTATTTCGTCGAATTCGGATTACTCCTGTTTGGATTTTTGGATTGGATTGGATTTGGATCATCTTTATTGGATCCGAGAAATTTGATTTGATATATGTTATATATTTATTTATATAAATATATAATACATATATATGTTATTTATTTATTTATATTGTATTTTTATAAATTTGCTACATTATTTAGTTTTTTATAAAAAATATATGATGAAAATAATTAAAAAGATATTTATATTTTTTTGTTTTTTCTTTATTTAAATTGATATATTTTAGTTTTTTTTAATAATTTATTAATTTTTAAAGAAAACAAGTCGAATCAGATAAGATCTGAAGATCCGACTTACTGATAGGATTCGAATTCAGATCGAGACCTATCAGATCTGGATTCGCCAATGAACAATATCAAATCAGATTTGGGTATACCCTGATTTGAATCCGATCTGATCTATTTGCATGACTAAAGGCAGGATAAATATAGGGATCCCGTTTCCCACGAGGACAACTATGGGTTGGGATTTTAGTCTCATTGGAGTGTGGGGTGGGGACAGGGTGGGTATTTGAGTTCAAGGTGGGGCCCCGTCCCTGCCCCATTGCCATTCCTAAGAGTTTTTGATAAATGCAATCAAGATTAAAAATGATAAAATGTATGGTTGAGTGGGTGTTGAAATAACAATTATGTCCTCCTTGGCTTTAAGTCCGGATTACTTGCACTTGATGGTTGTGTAACCAATAATATTGTCCCATATCAGCCACCAAGACTATATGCCCCACAATCATTCGAGCCCATATCTCTAACAAGCAGAAATTCTATTCACATAACATCAAGCTACACATTGGAAATATCTCTTGTACATCTGTTAAATTCATGGGAGATGTTCCCAATATACCACAAGATTCCGATGCTTTCACAGTGTATGCAGAATTTCTGCTTGTAGAGAACCCCGTTGTCAATTACTCAATAGTCTATCCCTCATTATGCGAGGATGGCCGATGTAGGGCATTATTAGTGGTTATACAGCTCCTAACACAGCCATAAACTGTAGCTAATTCAAGCTAGTTGGCTTTATCAATCTTTTGTCAACTTTGAAGATGTTATATTGAGTCTTGTCCTTTTCAAAGGATATGAGTGTAGTAAGAAATAATGTAAACGTTTATGGTTTAACAATGGATATAGTGTTAAATAGAATGGAATGGCGAAACAGGATAACCAATGTTATACAATGAGGATAAGATTTAAATAATGATGATGATGATGATGATGATGATATGGGGTCTTCTTTTTCTTTTAATACATTCTCCAAGTTAAGTAGGCCTACCAATCATTGAGGCTGGGAGTAAAAAGACAAAGGAGAATTGATAAAATTCTAAAAACCAATCGTTAGTTGTTAATTTGTAATTCCTTATTAGGGTTGAAAGGCGCATGTGGAAATGAATTTCTTAATTGCAAGCAATAGTTAATAAAGGAGCAGCTTTACTGTTCCATGTATTCTACATTTGAGTGGATGAAAGCTTGAAACCATGGGGGACGGAATTGGGAAGAAGTGGTCCTCTATTGCCTCAGACTGAGGCATCAATATTTGTTTATTCTTGTGTACTGTATGTATCAGGTCTCTGATAATAAACAATAACAATGTTGGAAGACTAGTGACAAAATGCAATTTCAAAATAGAGAGTCTGTCTTACCAAATAGAAAAAGTTTGATCACAGTGATTTGGTTGGCAAAGAGGAATTATGAGAAAGCAAAGTATCACATTCCAAAGTCCTGAACTTTATGGTTATAAATAATGGTTTCTTTGTCCTTTTCAAATGGGAACCATCTGTCTTGCCCAGCCTATCCAAATGGTGGGGGATGTGCCCAAGCCAATTCCTTAATCATTAAGTATGTAAATGATTAAGGTGGTGTTTGGAAGTGTGGATATTTTCTGGGACCGATTAAAAAAAAATCACACTTATTAAACCCGTTTTTTACAAAAAAAAATACATTCATATGTTTGATACTGTTTATACCATGTAGGCAGTAAGTAACAGTAATGCTGTTTGGTAAGGTGATTTTCATCACCCCTTTTTATGTATGTGCACATAACTCCTTTGACAAGTAGGATACATGTAAGCGCCACATCATTCAACTATTGGGGGCAATGGTTCACCGATGCATGAAACGTCAAATTTGACGTTTGGGATGTAATTTACGATGCATACTCATTTTTCAAAAAACGCTTAAACCAAACAATCATGTAGGTGGTTGTTTGTAGAATCGCCTACATGGATCCGATGTGGCACCGTTTTTCAGAAAAACGGCCACGCTTCCAAACATCCTCTAAGGTGCAAGGTGTCAACTGG